AATGATCGAGTAGTTGAAATGACCGAATAACCAAATAAGTGCCTTTTATGTATATTAGGCTATCCAAAAGTCTACATGAATTATTCGAATACTTCATCCGTACATTATTAAACCTCAAACTTTTTCGATAATCTCGCAGATATTCAAACAAATAGTTTTTGGCGATTTTTCATGTACTTAAGCAAACGAATATTATTCGAATCAGTTTGGAAATTACTATAATTCAAACAATACTAATTCAATCGAGTATCGATTCTCCGAATATTCGACTACTTGAAAAGCACTTGCGTTTTTTCCAATATTAAAAAATCTTGAATTATTTGAATAAATTGAGTATTTTACTCAAACATGAACTTTCGCCTCGTCTTTAGTCAACTAATTACGCACCCGCCTTACCTTTCTATCTTTCTTAGCACTTACCTAAATTAATAGATATCACCTAAAATCTCCCTTGTCAAGCGTTTATCCTTCAGGACGCAAACGACGTGGTCAAGACTACTTCATGGCAGCGAAACTCGAAAATCGACCGAGTGTGGCCACCACCAGAGGGTGAACATGCTCAGAGCGGATACCAAGGTAGGTAGTCTACATGCCTAAATAAGGTAAGCACTTGACGATGTTATTCTATCCAGGTCCCAAGCACATGCCAACCGTACAATGGCCACCAGTTGAAAGCGAACAACACGAAATCGAGCAGGTTCAAGTACTACAAAAGCATATCCCAGCAAAGAAAATGGAATATCAATGGCCACCACCACCTCCAGTTTACCAAGGTGGGTTTCTTGGGAGAGTTGGTAAGAAGATGGGTAAGCCAGTCAATGGGGAAATTCTTTCACGAAGTTGGTTTGTGAATAGAATTTTTTAAAAAGTTTACTTGAAAATTTCGTTTTTTAGGCTGTTTTATCGCAGTTTGTCATCTGTTTTACATTAAATGACTGCCTAACTTTATGTTTTACTTGTTCCTGAAATTTTTTTCGTGGCCTTCAAGCAGCCGACATCTTTTAGAAGTGGAGTTTACTTCAGTGGTTGAAAACGGTGAACCGGTTGTTA